GTTGGTTTTAGCAAACAGAATTCATAAAATACACAAGAATCGTGCTATGCCGCACAGAGGTTTTCACACTAATCCAATCAATCCTTGTCCAGGACACAAAAGAAAAGAGACTCCATGGATAAAAGAAAGTTGAGAGAGCAGCTCCTTGATGACTGACAAAACAGAGAATATACAAGAGCAAAAAAATGTGTGGAGAAACAAACAATATCTCAGTGACTGAAGATGCTTCTTCTGCTATTAACCATCTCTCAACCCCCTTGTGCCTATTAGCCATCATCTTACCACTCAAAAAAGAATTCCGCCCAACAGATTCTGAATTTTAAAAATATAGTGATATGCAGTAGATTAGCACTTAGCAGGCCCAATTACCAATGTTTCTGAGAAAATAACTTAATTAAAACCCTACATTTCCAATTCCATCCCATCATTCTAACCCTGTAATTGTGTTTCCAAATTCTAAATCCAAAAGTTCTTACGCTACATTTTAACTACTTCGATGAATTCCCGAATTGTTTTAATGAAACTCCATAAACAACCGTCTAACCATGATTGATTAACATACTAGCTAAACCTTTTCTTATAATAAGTAGAAGTGTAAAACTTTAACACAAACAGCAAGAATTTAATGTTTGATTTCATTTATTCAAAGAAATGATGTCTACCCACCATGAAAGTAAGATAGACATCTAAGACCTTAACCATCTCCCAGCCCCATCTTACCCTATTAGCCACCACCCTACCACTTAACCATAAATGACCCTGCTCCCCAAAAGATTCTGAACTTAAAACACAATACTCAGTAGAGTAGCACTTAACCAAAGCTCTGTTTTTTTCAATTCCATTCCATATTTCTATCCCTATAATTGTTTCGCAAGTTTTAAATTCGGAAGTTCCTATGCCAGCAGATATTACAATCATTTCCAATGAAACTCCATAAACAGGTATCTAACTATGATTAATTAAAAAATATTACAATCACTTCCAGTAACAGCCAGCAGTATAAAACTCCGACACCAAAAGGCATCACATAAAAAGTAAAAAAAAAAAATAATGTTTGGTCAATTCAAAGATATAATCTCTACCCACCAATTCAATTGCACCTAAAGGAATAAATCCCCCCATTTTATGCCCATTACTCCATCAAAAATTCCCAACCTCGCGTTCACAGGCTACTAATCCTGCTCTCAAAAGGTCAAAAAGCAATGGCCATCCTAAAAACACACCAAAGCATCATCTTTGCAAATTTGAATCCATCCAAAACACTGCTCTCCAATATCAAAAACCAATGAGAAAAACCAAATGATAAACCAAAAAACAAGCCAAGATATCAACTTGCCAAAAACTTTAATCCCGCTAGGTACCCGAAACACCAATCACACAACACCCAAAAACGAATAAAAAAAGAGAGACAGACCGTGATGGGCATATAAGTAAGCGTTTTTCCACGAGTAGATATGATCCCCTGGCCTTAACACATCTCTCTTGATACTATTCGAAAGAAGTCCCATTGCAATTTGCTTGCTTTTGCTCTGCTTCCTTAGCCTCTACGCTACGCAGTTGCCATGGGATATTTTGCCTTCCAACTTTCCAGTTCGAGTCTTACTATATTAATGAAACTTAGTTTGGAATTTGCCCTTTTAGTTTTGGGACAAGTACAACATAGTACCCAAATTATATGCTCATAGCAGATCAGTCCCTGAACCTTTAAATATCTCTGGTTACTCCCTGTGCAAATCAAATCATTTTTTCAATTATATGGTTCGTAAAGAGAATCATTGAAAAAATGTATTTTGATTACCATTTATTTTTCTAATTCAACCCAATAATATCTTTATTTTAAAAAAAATTATATTTACATGCACACAAACTTAGCCAGACATTATATTTTAATGTGATATATGCAATATATATTTTTAATTATAGGAACGCATGAGCATGTGACCGACACATGATCAAAATATATCTAAAAATTATTATAACTACTCTATGCTTCAAACCTGTCAACCATCAATAATTTTTCAAGAAAAAATTCATTCTTAAAAATTGGCTTTACAAAGTTTTTAATAAACAATAATGTCTTATATAACAAGGATTCTATTATAATCACGAGAGAGCTCTATTACATAATATTTACATTATTTAAAGGATTTATACAAAAACAAAGGGTTTAAAAACCAAATCATATTTACATAATCATTATTTTCAAGCTTATTATTACTTATAAAACTAAAACTTCTGGTGGTGGACATTGCATGGCTAGCACTATTCTCCTTCTTATAAAACATCTTAAATGACATTATATATTTTTATTTATTTTATTTTGGTTATTAATATTTTATTTTGTTTGATTTAATCGTGATTAAAAATCAGAACATTTAGTCGATGGTTAAAAAAAGGAGAATCGAACTAAAACAAGCACCAAATATAGATGGAGTGTAAAAGATTGCATAAAAAATTCACTTAAGTACTCGATCTTTAAACATAACACAGTATATGTAATCCTACTTCCTTTAATTTTTTTTAAAAAATAATTTTCATATTAAAGTTTATTTGTTTTATTTTTCAGATGCTAATAAAAGAAAAGAAAGAGAAAGGGTTATTGGATTCTAGCAAGGAGAGAGAAATTCATTGTTAACTCTATTTTTAGCCACCAAATTAAGTTTTCTTCATGTTTATACGTTCCATGAGATGATAAGAACTTTATGGTGGTTGTAATGATCCTCAATTTTGCATGGAAAAATCAAATCTAAACCAAAAAAACCAAAGCAAAATCAATTAGATTTTGGATTTTTTTTAAGTATTTGAATTTGATATAATAGTTTATGGGTGTTACGAGGGTGTTGATGAAGTGTTTTTAAGTTGAAATAACTTGATTTTTTTGTTTTTCGAGCTAAAGACAAGCTGCGTCTGTTTTTCAGCCAAAATATGGATTTTTAGACGACACATTGTCTTATCTACTTTTCTTCTAAAAAAATAGAAGCGGACAATAAGTCATCCATCCATTTTAAAAAAATAAAAATAAGCCCAAGCTTGCAAACATGGGCTTCAAGGCCCACCAATGCTCCTCGGCTTTTCATTTCAACTCTAGGTGTGGACTTGTAAGTTCGAGTCTTTTGACTCTCTCTCTCTCTCTTTTTTATAAAAAGATTGAATATAATTTTTTTTAAAAAAATATTGAGCCAGATTGAATTCATATTCCGGGTCACAAGTTTAACAAATTAAACCATAACAATTAAACAATTATTTTTTTATAATATTGCTTTGTTTTACTAGTATCATTTTTTAAACATAACTTTATAATTTATATTTCAATTAATATTCCTTATCAATGATTTTTCTTTTCTTATTTAATTTTTTTTATAGAGATTTTTTTTATAGTATTTTGCATGTTTAATTTTTGAAAACATTATTTTGATTCATCAATAATGTTATTTAAAATCCTTTTAATATACAAGAACTTTATTTTTTAAAATAAAAAATATTTACTTTCATATAATATTTTTGATATGTTTGCATAATATTTTTTCATTGTTATTTTATTTAATAGATTTAACATGTGTGTCTATTTTTTAATATTATTTCATTGAATAGAAAATTAATAAACAAATTTAGTTAATATAATCGAGTAAATATTCCACTTATTAACATATTTTATTATTTTATTTTATTTTTAGTTATCATTAAAATATTTTTATTTATTTATTACTACACATAATTTTCAATTTATTTAATTATATATATATATATAAACTTTTCAATTTATGCTTTAAATATCTATATGTACAAAAATGCATAAAATATCCTAAATGTACAGGTTTCTTGTATGAGGAAAAAAAAGTTGGCCTACAAACAATGTGTTAGCTATCCAAAACAAAACAA